TCAAGTGCAGTGAGGGAATATTCTATATGGTCTCACTCACATGTAGCAGAGCCCTATAGGATAGGCTCAGATCTCAATGGCCTGCGTGTGCTTATGGTGACACAGTACCCAATCGGTCCTCTAGGCGTCTGGAGATCCTGTTCATGAGTTGCAGATCTTTACTGACTACAACATTTTAAGAGTAGCCACAGGGGTAGGGTTAGGGGTAGGATTAAGGATAGGGTTAGGGGTAGGATTAGGGATTATGGTTAGGGTTAGGGTTAGGGATAGGGTTAGGGGTAGGGTTAGGGATAGAGGTAGGGTTAAGGGTAGGGTTATAGTTAGGGGTAGGGTTAGGGTTAGAGGTAGGGTTATGGGTAGGGTTATGGGTAGGGTTATGGGGTAGAGTTATGGGTAGGGTTAGGGTTAGGGCTAGGGTTAGGGGTAGGGTTGGGGGTAAGGGTAGGGTTAGATTCCTGTCATAATTTCCTCAATTTTCCCTCCCTCTCCTGTTTTGCCACTTTTCAGAAATTCAAAGCACTTTGGCACTTCCGAAATTCGGCACTTCGGCAATTCAGACATTCAGAAGCATCCGAATTTGCGAATTGCCAAAATTTGTCCGAATTTAAATTCGGATCGAAATGAAATTCACATGTCTAGGGCCTAGCGAGGCAGTGTGGAATAGTAGAATGTGATATAAAAGGGTTGTGGTTTTCCCTTGTAAGCAGGAAAATGTTGTATGGAAATGCTCAAATGGGGGTCGAAATTGGATCGTACTTGTTTGCCCGAAGAGGGATGAAAAAAATGGGGCTGTATTAGGGTATGGATGTATGGAACAAACAAATGTGGAATAAACATATCATGGTTGTAAGAGTTGTGTAGAGACCAAGAATGATGCATTTGTTGTTTGAACAGGCTCACATGTAGTGGTAGGGAGAATTGTCATGAATACCAGGGTGGCAATGTTGTACGTAATGGAGGACTGATTGAGCCCGTGATCAAAGGATAATGATATAAATAACCAACATGATAGATTATTAAGTGTCTAGAAGTTGACTTGGTTTTCAGTGGTGGTCACCTTTTCTGTGATCTGTTGCATGCTTGTTTTGAGCGCTGGTAGGTCTGCTGCTAGCAGGCGTTGTATATCCTGCAGCATAGTCTGCATCTGCTGCAAGTCTTGCTTGGTGGCCGGGTCTGCTGTTCCCTGTGGGGGTATGGGTTTGGTGAGTGTGGCCTGAGTGGGCTGTGGGGTTCTCAGTGTGTCCCCTTAAGTGGCTTGTGCTTGAAGGGTAGCTGCCTGTGGGATGTCTGGGCCCTGGTCGACCGCCATTTTGGCTGGGGTTTGTTTCTGTAGTAGTGCCCCTATGTCAGGCTGTGCTGTGCTGTGGCAGTACCTTGGTGTGGTCTTTGTGCTCTGCGCCCCATCTCCTCTTGGAATTGGTAGGGGTCCAGTAGAGGTTCGTCGCTTGGGTCTCCCAGGCCCTCTCCGCCCCACAAGTACTCCAGGCCACGGTAGTTTGGCATGTAGTAGGCTCAGATTTTATTTTTGGGCTTTGCCTGCCTCAGAGTGTACCGAAATGGCATCGGGTGGTGAAGGATGGTCTCCCCCATACAATGCAGGTCTGTGTTTGCTTGGATGGCATGTAGTTTTCGTGATGTTTAATGGATTCTGTATATTTTGCACGAAACTGCCAGAAATGGCATCTGGCTCGTTCCGCCGCTAAGCTCCGCCCCCTTAAATGAGGTATATTGAATACTTGCATAGGCCTCACTAGGCCAAGACCACTTGTTTGTTTGGAGTTCAGGTAATTTGTGTTGATGACCTTTGAACCGGAATTAGATGGTTCTGTCCTGAACCAGGAAGTCTCAGCCCAGAGGAAGGGGAGGCCTGTGAATTTATAGGCCAGATAAACCCCTCCCACAACTACAGGCTCCGGCTTTCCATATATCTTTATAAGCGATTTCTCACTTGATCTGTGAATACAATCAACAGCTGTCCTCTAACCATCTATCATCTTTTCTTTGGTGCCACAGACAGGACACTGAATCACAAATTAAACAAAACTGTTCGCCCATTGCTGATTCAAAAATGTTTCATCCATTGCGGACATGTTCTGAAGAATTGCTATTTTGGAGGAACCACATGCGCACATCTAGTAAAATGTCTTTCAAGTCCAAGAGACAGGTAGAAACAATTGGTGTGAACAGCGCCAAACCTCAACTGGATCTAAAAAAATTAATTATGGCCCCATATCTCTCACTGTATGAAATTGCTTTATTCACATACTTAAACACACTTACATGGCTCCAGATAAAAACTCGCCAATCAGGAAACACAGCTCCTACAATATCAGTATTAGCCAACCAGCCCTCTCAAGTGCCGGCGTTTTGCAGAGACCAGTTCATCGCAGTAACACGAAGAAGAGCCTCCACCTGGTTGCCTTCCACTGATCATTGGCCTCTAAATATGCAGTTCTATTTAATAGTTTACATCGGAGGAGCCAAAGGGACTTTTTATTCAGACAACCGGTCCGGTTACTTCCTGGTTTGGTTAGCTTATTTGAACTGAACTCGAGAAACAGCAACTGCTAGAGCACCTGCCTTGCAAAGACTTGTCAGTGAGCTGCATTGGATAGCCTGTGATTGGACAGCCACAGAAAGCCTGGGTGGGGATAGAATGGGAGGGCTTCTAAAGACTGCAGACAGGAGATCTGCAGTTTTTGCAGGCTCTTTTTAGATATATCCCCAATGAAAAAATACATAATTAAATACATGAAAGTTTTCATATGGGGTATATCTACTAAGCAGTGATTTTTATTTATTTTGTTATTTATTATAATGAATTAGTTTAGTTTAGTCAATGCCAATGTGAAAAACTGGCAGAAAAGTAATGTTAGTTGCCAGATTCACAGCGAGATGTCCCTTCTATGAATGAGTTTGAGTACACCTCCTATACTGTCTTACAAGAAAAACCCATTGCCATTTTCCAGCTGTCCCTGGTGATATTATAGATGAGAAGGAGATTTATAGCCAAAACACCTTAAATATGTTGTCCTGCTTCTTCCCATGTGCTCCACTGAATTATGGACAATGACTGGCCATGACGTTACACTGAAGGCTCTATATCTTACAGTTTGCTGTCTCCCCATGTATATCTAACACTTTGCTAATGTGAATGAATGTTTTCTTACTGTATGTACTAAAGCAATACAATTTCAGAAAAGATGACTTCCATTAGATGCCATGTCCCCCTATTGTTTGGGGGACAAACAGCAAACTATTCCTATACATACATTAACTTGGCAAGATTGTCTGAACCAGACAGGTACTAATGTATAATTTACCATTGTTAAATCCCAAATGGCTTATGTGTTATAGTCCTTTATTGAAAGAAGATAATCAATGTTAAAGGGTTGAGAGGTGCGCTGAAGCTTTCGTTAGAAGTTCATTTGCAGCGAATAGACAGCAAATATGGACAATTAGAAGGTGTTGACACCCGTCTAAAAATACAGACTTAATACACGTTTATCAGTTGGTTATTTGCCCTTATGGAATGACGCACAAAGACTGATCATTATGCTATGCGAAAGGCAATGGACTGTCAGTATCTTGCTAATTTGCTGCATATGCAGCCGAAGATTAAATAAAGCAGATAAAAAGAAATAATCAAAAGGATTAAAAAGTCAAACGTTTCATTCCGGAGCTTCCATTTTCTAGCTGTATCTGCAATGCATTAAGTATACATTGTGTTATCTTTAATTAAAATAAGAATCTTTTTAAAGCATGTGTTAGCAAGCCAAGGGCATACTATGCAAGTCACCAAAACCTCTGAGAGCCTTCCTCTTTAATCTGAAGGCAAAACATAACGGGGGCTACAATAACCCACACAAGTAGAGATGTCGCGAACCGTTCGCGAATGTCCCGCGAACGGCTCGCCACGGTTCGCGGCGAACCGTTCGTGGCGAGCTCCGGTCAGCTGACACATCCCGGCCAATCTCCAGCAGACCCTCCCTCCCAGACCCTCCCACCTCCTGGACAGCATCCATGTTGAAGCTGCCATGTTCGCGACATCTCTACACACAAGTCATATTGTTGTTGATCATTGAAAATGGTGAAATGATATACTGTATTCCTTATATCTTCCATAGGGGTGCATGAAAGATCCGGCACAACAAGATCACCATGCAAGAAGGTGTCAATTCTATTGGCCATCACGAATGACTGTGATAGGAAATGGTAAGATGTGGTGGTAGAAGCTGTTTTACATTTTATGCTCGTTTGGTAAGGGCCCTCTTCACCTCCTGTTCCTATATGTCTTGTTAGAATTAATTGTTTGTATTGTTTTATCCATTGTATGGCGTTGTGGAATAAGTTGACGCTATATAAATATTTGTAATTGTTTGAAGTTCCACCCTATGCAACATTTTTTTATTTATTTTTTTGCATTTTTTATTGTAGCATTTCATTATCATACACATTTGTGAGTGCATAGTGAGCTACATTTTAAGTGCATGCAGAGGGAAATATAAACTAATACAGCAAATGCATTTTATTCAACAGAGGTATTATAGGCTTGTCTGGCTAACTGTAGCTGATGTTATATGCACGGTATAGAAGGCAGCACGGTAGACACTGTTAGTCAAGACTCTGCATATGGGGGTGTGGGATGTTCCAGAGAGTATATCAGGGTTAAATTACAAACAGAACACAGCCTGATCTGTGGCTAATAAAGTAAAGTTGCTTAGTGTAGGTCATTAGTGGACACTAATCTATACACAAAGTTATCAGCATACATGGTAAGTAAACAATCAAAACCGGAATATAAGTCATTATATGAAGTAGCTTCAATAGGCGATTGATCGCCGTCTCTTTCAGAGTTTCTCAAGTGCCAGCGGCTGGTTGTGCTGCAGTTCCCCTCCGTGGTTTGGGGTAAAAGGGTTGGATAGCATTAACGTCCCATTCTGGAGTAGAGGGTGCTTGTGATGCAGCCAACATAGGTCGCAGGATGTTCTCAGGGATGGTTAAGTGAAGAGCCGCTCTGCCTCCGAGATGTGGGTAAGTGTGAAACGCTTGTCAGCATGTAGCGCTTTTAGTTTTTGTCCCGGTCCCAGGTTGCAGTGTGTGTCTCCAAAGCATGGTGGCCCTGGATAGGTCATTGAAGAAGGAAAGGTCTGAGCCTTCAAACTTGTAGGTAGGTGCATTCTTAGTCGCGGCCTGTATGAGCTGCTTGCTCTGAAGTCACCTGGAAACAGAGCAGCAAGTCTCTTGGGGCCCCGACCGACATTTTAGGTGACTTAGGAACCCTATGTGATGGTCCAGTGGCATATTTTGGGCATTTGATGAGGATAGCATACAGCTCAATAATCTGCGAAAATTAGGTACCTTGTCATCCACTATGACTTCAGGGACTCCGCGGACTTCCAGCTCGGCCAGTTTGCTCTCCAGAACAAGGTTAGCTTGCTTCAGTTTTTCCACCTCCACTTTCAGGTCTTCTTGCTGGCCTTTTGTTTTGGCATTTTCTTCCTCTAGCACACGCAGTTGAGATGTCATGACCCCCATGTCTTCTCGGATCCGCGCGATGTCGGCTGAGAAATACGCCTTGAGCTCCGACAGAATGTTCTCTATGTCCACTTTACCGACAGGTATCTGCTCCGAACTAATTTCCGGGCTCGCCCGCTTATCAGTGGGGTCAGGTTTTTTGGGAAGGGGGCTCTCAGTATGCTCCCTACGTTCAGGAGAGCCATCTTTTTCTTTCCCATATGGTCGGGAGGGGGTCTGGTTGAGTATAGGGAAAAATTAGTGCAAATATTCTTAATATTGCTCTTCTCTCTCGGGAGCTCCCGGCATGTGCGACTGCTTCATTCAGTGGCTAGCTCCACCCCCCACCCCATGCAACATTTTGACAAAAATTGCCTGTAGTGCCTACTTTGTCTTATAATGTTTGTTGATGGCAATGGAATTCAATCCAATTCCACTGCGGTCTAGATAAGGTTTTTCATAAATATTCTATCTTTATGAAAAACTTGAAAGTGCCAGTGTTGCTTTAAAGGTAAAATAGTCTCTAGGTACAAAATTATACTGTGATTCCCCAAAGAATCTACATCAAATAATGTTCTTTTTTATGGTTGTGAATAGAAAAGCTGTTGAGAGTACTGCTGCATAAACCTGTTTGGTAATGTCTGTTCCTGGACTGGAATGTTAAAGATGAATATATTTTATAATATATCGTATTTCATTTTTGCCTATTTTTTAATGCTGGGAAAAGTTGGGTAATTTTCAGCTACGGTTTCCCTTTATCCCTAATTTTATGCAAACTCTAAACACCCCCTAAATTGAAGTATTCTTAAACCTGCTGCATGGCGTAGAGTAACAACGCTTGTGATTATAAATAAAGATATATTGATACCCTAACCTACTTAATGTGGTAACATTGTAACATTCCTGCAATGACATTTGGCTTTTTAATGTCAACATTTGCAAGCAGATATTTTTAAAGTGAATCACTTAACGACAAATGGTGTGTAGTGGCCTGCCTGACCATGGGTCTCCGATGCTACAATCATGCTTGATCATACATTGAAAAATAAAAATACTATAATGCTTATATGAAATTCAAATATATGTGATCCTAGCTGCATAAATCACAGTTGGATAATTTGAAAATATACTCAGCTATATTTTATTGATCTGAAAAAGCTTTCTATGGGATGCTGAGAGATGCAATAAAATGCTTTTTTTCATGCTAGAAAGCGAATAATTGACAAGGTTGTTCCGAATGAATTGAACGACTCCTTGTGCTTCTGCCAAAATATTCCTATTCCCACTTTGTGAGAGCCGCGAGTTCTGCATTTTTACTGTACATGCTGTGAACAGATGGCCTACATAAACAAATTATAAGTGCAAATGAGATTAAGCAATAATCTGGGTACATCGATATTTACTTTAGGCTGTTTACTTTGAAAACTAGATTGAATGTTAGAAGTTAGAAGCGGATAGACTAAAGGCAACAACAATGCAGCGAGTTAGTTGATTTAAAAGGTATTTTAATGAAAGTTCTATTAGTGCTGTAGACTAGAACACACTTTCTCTGTGTGTATGCAGAGGATACACGATTAACCCCACTGCTTTCAGGTTTCTGGTGCAAACAGAGGAACTTCAATGGCCTGTCTAGCAAGACGCTACAGAAATAACATAAAAAATGGTATATGTTAGCCAATTGCCAGAGAGTAATGTTACACTTCTAAAGACCCTTTTGGTACACATGCACCCCCCATTCACTTCCCAAGACCTAATCAATGCATTTTTGTGAACATTTTCAGTTTTTAACCAAATTTTGCAGCTAATTAATTGCTGCTTCTATGATCCAACATAATAGTCCTAATTCTATTGACCTTGGATTTAAGACGTGTAAGTGATAGACCGGTGACGGTAAGTTTTGAAGACAGTTATTCCATTAACTAAATGAACAGAGAGTGGCAAAGTAGATGATTCTGCCATTGACATGGCTATTCTAGACAGCCCACCTGTCCTTGATTGGACCTTTTAGCTCAAATTCACTATATTAGAGAAGGCTGGTGTATCTATTACTTTACCAATGTTCTACAGTAACTTTACATCATCAGACATCTTCCCAGACATAATTTAATCAGGAACAATGCGTTTAATATGAAATTTGTCACAGCAGGGTCTCCATCCAGGTGCAGTTTGGACACTGGTGAGTCCTTGTAGCCCTCCTACAAGATGAATTATCTGTACCCCTCCCAGACCTGACTCTTATTTCAGATTCTTTCTATTCCACAACATGTTATTCTGATTTCATCTTCCAATCCTCAATTTCCCAGTCTAATAAAGGAAGGTCGCAGGAAGGAGATGACCCACCATTGAACTTCTCGATAATGTCTACAATTCACTAAATAATTCTTCCCTGGTAGAAGAACAAATGTGTAACAGTTCTAGAACTATTACACAAAAATTAAGTTACAAGGTTTATCAATGTTTCAGTAAGTAAATTGAATGAGACATAAATTGCCCAACTGATAATAGTTTAGTAGTTACAGTAATATAGGCTTTAAAAAAAGACTCAAGGCCATCAAGTTTAGTCTTTCATACGTCTATGTTTCTAATTTTGATCCATATTTATAATATAATATTATTACAATTCTTGTTTTTATTTCAAACAATTAGTGCTGTCTTCTTTATATCTGGATAGCATCTGCATTACATAACAAAATTCAAAACTGATTTTGTGACCCTAAAAGGCATGGAGCTGAAAATATGGACATCTTGTATTACCGTGACATGTTTTTTTTCCGGCATATTGTACATACTAGACGTCTGTCTAAAATAAGGATTTCATGAAAATAACAACAATTTTACTCAAAGGAGAAATAGCTAATGACCACTGTGTAGGAAATATCCCGAACAAGGATGGTCAGTGTGAGTGGTACCCACCTACTCTGAGCATGGACCCTAACAACGTTACCTAGAAAGAAAAAATAGGGAAAATATCCTAAGAGAGATCCCTCTTGGGGTACAAAATGGTAAACTGGCTGATTGAAGTGAATTCAACATTTAAAAATTAACGAGTAGGTGGATACTATCTAGTAACAGAACGGCTAGGAAAATATCAGATTGGTAAACCACCAGGCTTTATTTCCTTTGCCAAAAATGTCTAACACAAAGACATGCCATCCATCAACTAATGAAATGAAAAATAATAATGATAATAGCCATCAATAGCATGAAGTCTCTCAATCACCAAATGACAGTACATACATCTGTTTTCAGAAAATCTACCATATATTGTGTGGTGTAATTAGACCTAGGATTAATGGGCTTGTATCACACCGAGGTACGGTGAAATATAATAGGGAGAGTATCGCTCACCTGTTGACTGATTCTAATAAAAGATGATAGGTAGGTGTCAACAATATGGGAAATATATATTAAATAGTTAAAGATGGAGGAGTGCTCACCAGTCAGTATTTTGAAGCAGAAAGATTATAAAAGGAGTGGAGTAGCAATTTACAAAAGTATGATGTAATAACTATATATGATCGTCTATCGGCAATGGGCTATCCGGCGGCTGAAAAATCTGAGCGCATAGATATCTTATTATATGTATAATGCGCCTAAATGGTGAAGTACCATAACGACTGTTCTAGGTCAAAGGTGTCTAAAATTATGTTTCCTCATAAGATTGGTGTCTAATCTCCTCCTCCAGAAGACTATGCATACGTGGTAATATCTCCAAATATTGTCTAATCTCCTCCTCCAGAGAGCTGCACATACGTGGTAATTCCCCCATATACTGTCGACTGAGTAACGGCAAATATAGCACTTTCATGGGTGCCAGGTAGGTATCCCTATCGCTATAGATGGGTAGCTCTCGTCTACCTCCTCAAACCAACTACTGACTATTCATTAGACCTTGTTAGAAAACAATATCCACATTTAAAAGAAAAGTGAACAAATTAGTGCATAGTGCCAAGTGATATAAAACCAAATTTTCAAAAGTTTCCCAACGCGCATTTCGGTGCTGTGAAAGCACCTTCGTCAGGAGAGAAACTTTCACACTGAAAGTCTCCGGTATATAAAGGTGATTGATCCTATCTTCAAATCGTCTGCAGCCTATCAGGTTTCAGTAATAGGTTCCACCTTCAAGGTGGTTTCAGCTTATCATCTTCCCTGTCAACGTCATTGCTGAGGTGAATCTTAGTCACACGTATTCCTAAATTACATTGTATCTACGTGGAGATAAGTGACATCATGCATTTTATCAAAAATGAATTGGAGTATTTTGACATCCGGATGTCATTAAGATTTAAAATTAAAGAGATTTAGCTCTGTAAGGAAACCAAGTACATTTAAACCTTAATCGGTAGTTTCCTCCCGAACAGCCAGAGCCCAGTGAATATAGCCCACCGTTCGGTAGTTGTAGTAGACGAAATCCCAATTGTAAATCCAATAGTGTTCCTGCATAATTCCCACAGTAAAACACACGAACTCCCAAACAGCATACATAGTCAGAATAAGGGTACAAAGATGAACTGAGGTTTAATGACAGGCATGCTCTTTTTATGGGATTCAGCCCATGCAAGGGAGCCTCCCATATAATTAGCCATATATCCAATCCTAACAATATACATACTGTACATCTCCTCCCCTCAGATAACCATTAAACACAAATAAAACGTAACAGAAATTCCCCAAAGTTTGGATGTACCCCTGGGAGACCAACATAGTAAAAACTCAGCCCATTCGGTTCAGCCGTTCGGGAGATATGGGACTTAGAAGTTTTGACCGACTGCACGGGCAAAGTAGCCGAAAACAGTTCCATGAATTCTGGCCCTGCAGTCGGTCTCAGATCGCATGAAAAACCTCCCGAACGGCCGGCCATCCAGCTACCATCCTTGGTTCACTTGATTCCCCATCTGTTGGTAAGTCTTTCTACCGAACGCCCGGTCGTTCGGTAGTTTGGAAGGGGTTTTACCGAAGGTCTCGAGGCTTCAGCGGTGTTCGCCTGTTTGAGTGTCCGTTTTCAGTTCCAAACATTCAATGGCAAACACCGCTGTTCGGGAGCTAAAATGGGCGCGAACACGAGGAAGTCCCGAAATGGCGGCGAGACCTGCCGTTCGTGCAAAACTGTTGAACGTAATCCAGCCAGCAAGGGGGTACAGTCTGTATAAAGGGGGAACAGGGTGATCTGCATTCGGTAGTTTTACCTACCGAATGCCATAGGGAAACATTACTATTCACACAAAATTACACGGCAA